AATTCGCTTCCTTCATCTTGCTTACCTGATTCATATAATTTGCATTCATTTAAGTCATCAGTCAATCGTTATCTTGCTCTACAGATTTAGTCTTTTCTCTTCCAGTAACTTCCAACTCTTATAGTGGTTGCTTGCAGCCTTGTTGGAAGTGAAGATGTTAATAAAAAAAAAAAAAAAAAAAAAAAGTTCTAGTTATTTAAAGACATTTGTGAACAAATTTCCTACTGAAATAGAATTTCGAGGAGCAATAATAAAAGTAAGTTTTTTGTTCTTAATTGCTGATTTACCTGCTAAAGCTAACATATTTTGTATTTGGTGCAATATAATGGTTACTTTGGGTGTACTGTGTGTCGAATTCCAGGTGTTTATAAAAATCACAGACATCTGTATATCAGTAACAATGAATATAAGCTGAGAACAGATGAAAGTCGCCAACAAGATATATTAAGTAAAACTAATGAAGTAACTGGTTTATCTGTCTTGCATAAATTAATGAAAATTCCAACAGGTGGACCAATTGAATATATGCATAGTGTCTGCTTTGGTTCAGTTAGATCATTATACTTTTATTGGAAGACGTTTTAAATGCTTAATGAGACTGATATAAATAAAATGAGTCAAATTAATTCATTTTTTTGATTCCGAGCGCAATAAACAGGCCTCCAGAGTCGTTTTAAGAAGCTAAAGATTGGAAAACATCACAATGGAAAATTTTCCTCTTGTACACTGGGCCGATTGCATTGCTTGATTTTCTTTTTAGCTAAAAGCTACCTTAATTTGTTATATTTATCAAATGGTGTAAAAATATGTCTGGAATCCACTAATACAGAGCATCTTGAAAATGCTAAGTTTTCATTAAAAAATTATCATAAATATTTGTTTATCGGAAAGTTGTTATACAATAAACAACCACTTACTTTTACATTTGCCGGACCAAGTTAAGAAATATGGTATTTTATCAGAGGTGTTAGCATCTAGCTTTGAATCGGCCACGGGCAAATTGCGCGTGTTGATAAGTGGTCCAAGAAACGTTGTAGAAAGATAGATTCTAGTGTAAATAATAGCATAAACTCCTTGGAAAATCTTTTACAACTAAATTTCCACAAATTCTTATGCTAGAATAATTATTTATGGCAAACAGTTTAACTCTAAATTGCATGATAGAAATGGAAAACGTTCATTGATGCATTATGCTCAATTGAACAATAATAATCATGTTATATGTAGTTTTTTTTTATTTTGATGGTATATATTGGTTCGCAGCTGTAAATGAACTTATTAATGGTACTTACTTTTAACCATACTCACATTAAAGTATATAATAGAAAGTCATTAGAAACCAAAAATATTAAGTCTAAAAATACAAAAAATAATTGCATTGTTTTAGAGAAATGTGATATGGTTTATGCCATTAATTATTTATTTGAGTTTGAACATGACTAAGTTTTTGAACATTATTGAATAAATATAACTTTTTTAACAAATATTTGTAATATTTTATATTAAACAGACTTTTTCATATTATTAAAGGCTAATACAAATGCTAAACTTATAATAAATTGTCTTGCCTGTAGTTTTAAATTCTATTTAACGTATTATTAATGGAGGCGAATGGTAGCAAGCAATAGGCAGCTAGTAAACTATAATAATAAGTTATTGCTATTTTTTGATAAAGAACAACAATATTCTATTAATTCAAGCAACTTAAATATTATTTCAACTGGATCTGTAATTAAACCTGGTAGATCCATACAAGTAAAATATAACAATCAATTTTATGACTCAAAAATTGTGGCCATTGGAGATAAAAACTTTATTAATTTGAAATAGGAACGCCTTGAAGAATAGTTGCAAGAAATGAGTGTGCATGGCCTAAGTTGCCTTAACGAGGAAGAAAGGGGAATCACACCTCGTTAAGTTGTCAGTAATCACACCTCGTTAAGTTGCCTTAACGAGGTGTGATTACTGACAGCGATTAAAGTTAAAGTTCTATCCAGGTCACTATTTATATATACATTTTTTTTCTTTCAGATTTATACATATGTAGCAACACCGACACATAGTTCTGCAGAGATTTATGATCAAATGCTTATTAAGAGAAGAAAGACAGATTCACATATTGAGGAAATTCCTGATGATTTGATAGCGAGAAAGCTGTAGTTTTAGATAATATCATAAGTAGGTGTTAAATGGCATAAAAGAAATTACTCTAATTTAATATAAGTTTTATTTAAATTTCATTTGTTTTAGGAATATGGTGAAAATGTTGGTCCAGAACTTAAACTTGTAAACTTCCTAGAAAATTTGAGTAATACTATCTTGAGTATGACAAAATAAGTTGATAATCTTGCGGCAGAGCAAGCAAAAACATGATCTTTACTCAAAAGCGTAAGATTTATAATAATTATTTTCATTGATTTAAAACAAAATGTATTTTTATATTATGTATGATATATAGTATACAGATTTTGTTAAGATTTAGTTCTCATAGTTAATTTGAGCTGTTTAAGGAAAAAAACATTAACCATACTACAACAGCTTGTGGAAGCATAGAAACAGTTGGAAGCATAGAACCAGTTGTAAGTTACTAAATATTGAATTATTTGAAGAATACAGGGATTAGCCCACACTTTTTCATATTTTGTTTACTTTATAAGATAATCAAACTTTGGGTTCGATGGTTCAGTAGTCTTTAATTTAAAAGTGGTAGTGGTGTAGTAGTAATAGCGCTCGCTTTATAAGCGAGCTATTACCACTACACATATCCCTGGAAGTACCGCGCTCAACTTAGTTTCTCAACGCACAAGCCTTGAAAAGCCTTGCTTTTCGAGGTTTGTGTTTCGGAGTTGACAGTTGTACCAAAATTAAGAACAAAAAATAAAATTAAAACACAAAAAAATGAGTAGCCTCCGTGACTGTAGTGACCCCCTCGGCCTGAAAAAACATTTCAAAACATCTTGGTATTGACTCATTGCAGCAGTTTTTGATTATAAAATGTCACAAGTAATAAGTTAACTACACAACCACACAATGCATTGAATGCAATTGCTTATATTTGTGATTATGTATATATGTACCCTTACGGAAATATTCCATGGAAAACCCATGGAATTCCATGAGTAAACCATGGTTTTCCCATGAAAAACGGGAATTCCATGGAATTTCCATGGGTAAATTTCATGAAAATTGAAATCCCATGGAATTTCCATGGGTGAACCATGTTTTTTTTATCATAGCTTAAGCTGCGCCATGGTTGTTACAAATGCGCTTTTAAAAATGGCGTCATAGCTCGTAGAGTTATGATTATTTTTAACTTTAGAAAACAATACTTACTGCATTCTTCTGTTTTTCTGTGTTTAATAAGACTATGAATTATATGTTTTTTATAATGCATTACATTTATATGATTTAAACTAAACATACAGACATAAACAACTAGATATATTTATCATATTATAATGCATTATAAAATGGATTATTTTTAATTATATATAATTATATATCATTTAAGCATATACTTATTTTAACTGTTTCCAGTAGCTTTGCTTACTTTGCATAACTTGCAATAGTATAGCAAGTATGTCAAGTAAACCAGTTTGAATTTTAATGCCTACTTGGCAAATTATTTGTCAAATAATTATTATTTGGTTTACAACAAATAAATGTTTAGTTTTAATCTACATTAAATAACTAGTGTATTAATGTACATAGTTTAATTTAATGTACATTCAAACTAGTATAATTATTATTATAAAACTTATCAAACGTATTAAAGAAACTTATCTAAAATATTAATATACAAGCAGTATATTAGATAAGATTAGATAACTAAGATAATAAGATAAGATAACTAATGTACAAAAGATAACTAGTATGATCTTTTTTATTTTTTTTATAATAGCCTTAGATTACATAAAAATGCTTGAAGTTTATTGTATCGTAAATGTTCATTAAGTATTAAAAAACATTTTTTTATGATAAATGTTCTATTCAATTTTAGTTCTGTTAAGTTGTTTTTGTCTTTTTGTTGTTGTTTTTTCTTAAGAATTATTAGAATATGTAAATAATGTAATATAAATAATGTTTATAAATTCTTTTATATTTACTTTATTATTTTATTTAAATTACTACATTATAAGCCAACAGGTTTGACTGTCAATATAAATAATGTTGTTCATCGTTTATATTGTTTATAACATCGTCAGTTTTTATATGCATTTAATATTTTTAAAAATAGTTCAAAAGCTGTCAAAATAAAATGGTGAATTGAGTTTAAACCAGAAAAGATATAAACGTAATTTTTGGGATTCAACTTGTAAGGATGTTCCAAGAACCACTTAGTTGGAAAAGGAAAACTGTGGTAATATTTTATAAGTATCAGTAAGGGAATTTACTTAATGCACAAGATTTTACTTCATAGTTAAATATAAGCATATAAAAGCAATGTTTATAAATAATACACTATTATTTATTATAATACAATTATTTTTATTTATTTATATTTAATTGATGTAAAATGCTCGTCTTAAGTTAAAATAAATTAATTTATGCACACACTTTGATATTTACTATGCTTTTACATTACTATACTTTATAAATTACATATTTGTTATGTTTTAAATACTGAAGTAAAAATATAATAAATTCATTTTATTATATTTTTCATCATTTTTATTTAAATTACTGCGTTATAAGCAGGTAAGTTTGACTGACAATATAAATAATGTTGTACATCATGCAGACAGCTCAGACAAAGAAGTAAGTTTTTACTTAAAATTACAATTTATAAGTTATACTATATTTGTTGCTGCCTTATTCTATATAAATGTTACTAACATGCAGGTAAAATTTATATATGTGTATAAATCTTTTCATTTTAACCTTATCATTTCATTTAAATATAAATTTTTAATTTAATTATTTAGCCGTTCATTAACAAGTCCTGTGCTTTATAATATATTAAAAAATGGAAGGACGTGAAGAAAACAGGTTTGTAAATGATGTTGTACATCATGCAGATAGCTCAGAAGAAGAAGTAAGTTTTTTTTTAATTACAAAAGTAAATGTATAATATAATATTTGTTGCTGCCTTGTTCTATATAAATGTTTCTAACATGCAGGTAACATTTATATATGTATTAGTTTGAATAAATCATTTTAATAAAAATACATTATAGGCAGGAATGTTTGACTGGAAATATAAACGATGTTGTACATAATGCAGATAGCTCAGGCAAAAAAGAGGTAACAATCTAATAATTTGTATTTATAAATAATGATATATTCATTGCTACTTTTTTCTATATAAATGTTACCTAACATTTGGCAACATTCATAATTGTGTATAATGTCTAATTATAAAGTAAGTTATAATAGATAATAATTATAAGTAAAATGAATTAGTAAATAAAGAAAACTAGTTATAATGTATATAATAGTTGTATAATGTATTGTCTAGATTGGTAAAATGGAGAATGAGACTAACTAGGGTGAAAAAAATGAATATTAATATGTGAATGGTACTTTGTTTAACATCTACCTGTTTATACAGATACAGTACAGACGCATTTATAAATAAGCTTGATGTTTTTTTGAATTAAATATGTTGTATTGATGGTTCTTTTTAACTTGTTAAAACCTGAAGTTATTATCAAATTTATATATACTATTTTTATCAAATAGTTAATATAAAATAATAAACATGTAAATTGTTTTATTTTCTGTAAAAATTGTTTTCTTGATATATTTCAATTGTTTATCACTATGTATATCACTTATAGTATTATATTACTTGTAATTTTTTGTTTTATTTATTTTCAGTATGTTATACATATGCATGCATTAAATATTGTGGGGAAGTCAAGTTTTAATGTTTTAGGTGCATTATAGCTATTATTTTTCAAAGATTTGTAGGATTTAACAAGATTTAAATTTTATTTTATTTATTGATTTTATTTGGAGAAAGCGATCTCATAGATTAAGAGAACTCAATAATAGTGGGATAAAATTTGCTTTTATGATTTAATATGACAATTCAAATAACATTAGATAAAAAAACTTGAAAACAAATCATGCTTTTTTACCATGAAAAATCCATAAGTTTTCCTTGGAAAGGTGTTCCTAATACCTATGGAAATTCCATGGTTTTTCCATGGATGGAAAATCAATATCCATGGATGGAAAATCAATATCCATGGAAAATCAATATCCATTTGAAACACTTTTCCATGAAAAACTTAAAGATTTTTCATGGGAAATTCATGTGTTTCCCATGAAAACTCATGGTTTTTCCATGGAAAACTCATGGTTTTTCTATGAAAAACTCATGGTTTTTCCATGAAAAACTCATGGTTTTTCCATGAAAAACTCATGGTTTTTCCATGGAAAACTCATGGTTTTTTCATGGGAACGTGTTCCAAATACCCATGGTTTTTCCATGGTTTCTTTTTCTAAAATTCCCAAGGGAAATTTTCGTACGGGTATATATGTATATATGATTTATATACATGTTTATATGTACATATGTATATATATATATATATATATATATATATATATATATATATATATATATATATATATATATATATATATATATATAAATATATATATATATATGCATAAAAATATATATATATATATATATATATATACATATATATATATATATATATATATATATATATAATATATATATATATATATATATATATATATATATATATATATATATATATATATATATATATATATATATATATATATATATATATATATATATACACATATATGTGTGTATATATATATATATATATATAAGATATATATATATATATATATAAGTGTATATATATATATATATATATATATATATATATATATATATATATATATATATATATATATATACAAGAATTATCTTTTTCTGGACATTTCCGGATATTTTTCTTAATTTTCAGTTTTTCAGATACACAAAAGGTTTTTTATAATACATGTTTACGTATATATTTTTGTAATATTTTTGGTTTTTAAACTTTTTGACTCATCACTCATACAGAAATAAAAAAAAAGTTTGGAAGAAACGTATGTATGTATTAAAAACATCAGCCTATAATTTTAAATTCATGTAATCAAATCATGTATTTAGTTAAATATATATGTAGAAGCAAATAATGACAAGCAGGTACAACAAGCCACTTATAATTTATAGGGATAAATTAAACAACACCAACAGTTCTACTTAAACTACTTATTTTGGAATGTGAAGTAAGATAAGAAAGACTACTATATGTTTTGCAAAAAACTAACCAATTTTTGATGATTTGGAAGTAAAAAAGGTCTAAATTTTTTTTAAATACTCAAATATTTCTTTATACAATGTAGAGCTTGTCTAATATAATGCAATTTTCAGTTTTATTTTATATGCTTTCAGAATATGACGAACATGATGAACACAGAACAAACACGTGTTAATGGTTGCGAAAACAAAAATTTAATTATGTTATTTATCGCAAAATCATCTAATTATGGGAAATCTTGCGGATGAGCTAACAAAAACAAGTTCTTTAATAAAAGTGTAAGGTTTAAAATGTTTAATTGTAATATTTTAGAATAACATGCAATATATGCATTTCTAATAATAATATTATACCGACTAATGGTTAAAATTTATTTATTACATTGAATTTTAGTTGTTTATGTTTTTTTGCAATTATTGGGTTTTGTACTTAAGTACATACCCTAATAATTGCAATATATATATATATATATATATATATATATATATATATATATATATATATATATATATATATATATATATATATATATATATATATATATATATATATATATATATATATATATATATATATATATATATATATATATATATATATATTTATATTATGTATATATATGTTGTTTTTGTATATACATATTTATGCTTAGTTTTCCTTTGTAGGATTTGCTCTTAGTATTGATACGTTTCCTCAATTAAAAACAAGTTTTAATATTTAATTACCTTTTATAATTGTTATATAATTCAATTAATAAATAAATAATTATATATACTATAACAATGGAAAAATAAGGGTGCAATGATCCCTCATGTTACGCAAGTTCGGTAACATGAGAGAGCGCCGTCCCTTATGTTACGCCGTTTTTGTAACATGAGGGACATGTAGAATAAAAATGTAAAGTGGAGGGCAAAATATAACACTAGGGTTGTAAATGTAACACCAGGGATCATAGAAAGGTAACAAGGTACTACTACTACTACTACTACTACTACTACTACTACTACTACTACTACTACTACTACTACTCCTACTACTACTACTACTACTACTACTACTACTACTACTACTACTACTACTACTACTACTACTACTACTACTACTACTACTACTAAGTTTAGCATTATTGTATAAACATGTTTTGCAAAATTTTTTTTAATTTTTGTAAATTTATATTTTTGTGTATTAAAAAAACTAGTTGAGTGTATTTTTATATGTGTCTTTATTCTTTTTTTGGCGTTGTTTCACGTTTGACGAGGTTTCAATGACATGCTAAGTTTTGAGGGCAAGATATTTTTAGGTACTTTGTTAAACCTGTTTGTCATTCTAAATACGAAAAAAAAAATTCTGTTACTAAAAGAAAATTGAGAAATCCATTACAAAGATAAAAACATGATTTATTTTAATTTATTTAAATATTTGTAAATTTGTTAAAAAATGTTTATAACGAAACAATTTTTCAGATTTTGTAACGTTAAGTTTTTAGTTTTTGTAACATTTGTAATGCAGAAAGTTTTGTAAAACGTGTTTTATTAAAAGATACGATTGTAATAATTTATGATATTGTACTGAGAAAGATTATTTTTGAAACAATAGATTTGTAGCTGCTATTTTGTTTTACACAGTTTAAAATATTTCTATAAATAGTTACAACAACACAACTTTTATGCGGCAAACTGCAACTTTTTCTGTTACTAATGAAAGTTCTTGGCATTGGAATCCTAATTGGATTGGATATGTTTTGTTGATGTATGACTTTTCATTGTTGTTTTGATAACGTCTTAAAGTTGCTTTGATTCGGACTGTATAGAAAACTTTACCTCTTTAACAAAAAATTTTTTTATCATAACTAATTTTAAATTATTTATTAGCTAATTGTTTGAGCATGTATTAAATTATATTTGTGTAAATTTCTTATAGTTTTATTATTCAGCGTCTATTTTACCATTAAATTTACTGTTTAATAATGTCTATCACTTAGTCCGCATCCACAAATTTCAACACTGTGTTTGCTGTCCCAATGCTTTCTTTAACTCTAAATTATCTTCACTAGTTATCTATTGTCTCTTGCAGGAATCTATACTAGGGTCTTATTATTTCTAATTTATGTTAACGATCTCCATGAAGTCTCAAAATTAACAACTATAATGTTTGCTGATGATACAAACCTATTTCTATCTAATAATAACATTTATAAACTTTTTTATGTTATGAAGATTGAACTAACAAAGTATTTGACTGATTTAAGTCAAATAAACTTTCACTCAACATTGATAAAACTTAATGGATTTTCTTTCATCCACGATTTAAAAAACATTTACTTCCAAGTAAAATGCCTTTTTTTCATAATGATAATATTCAAATGAAAAGAGCAATTTTCACAAATTTTCTAGGTATTAATGTATACGAAAAGTTATCATGGAAAAATCACATTGGACATTTATGCAACAAAATTGCAAAAAGCATTGGAGTTTTATATAAAGTAAGATGCGTTTTAAACAAACATTTATTAACACAGCTATATTACTCTTTTATACACTGTCATATTAATTATGCTAATATTGCATGGGATTCTGCGGAAGCATATTGCATGAATTTTTTTAATATATATCAAGTAAATGTACCCATAAAAATAAATTATAGCCATACTATTGTCTGCAGAAGCATATTGAACGTCTTATAAATTTCAAAAATCATTTTACCCACTCAAGACCACTTTTATTTAACATGAATGTTTTTAATATATATCAAGTAAATGTTTATAATGTTCTTTGTTTTATGTTTAAATGTAAAACCAACTCATCTCCAGCTTCCTTTTTTGATTTATATACTTTAAAAGAAAAAAAAAATTCTTTAAGAGATTATAATTTTATTAAACAACTACAATTTCAAACAAATTTTGGTAAGTTTTGCATTTCTTTTTGTGGAGCTTTTTTATGGAATCAAATAGATTTAAAAATTTTTGATTTTTCTTATGAATGGAATTATTATATGTTAAAAAAAAAATAAAAAATAAAAAGTTGTCTTAATTGAAAATATATTTATATACTTTTAATTATACCCAGTTTTATCATCACTTATTTGTATTTTACTTTTATACAATATTGATTTAACGTTTATTTAAGAAACTATATTTAAACACCATTATTTGAATTTTGTTAAAAGTTGCACTGACATTATTCATTCAGTCTATTATTATTTACATGTTTACTTTAATTTTTATTTTAATTCGTAATATTTGTAAATAATTTGTCTTACAACGGTATATACTTTTAACAT